TCCCCATAACGACTCCTAGAGGACGCAGTTCGAAGTTCCCATGAAAGGGAACGTCTCAGGTTACTTATGTGACCATGGTTCCCTGAGTAGGGAACGAGACACTGCGTCCTCTAGGTTTCTTGCCATGCTGCGGACGCAAGCTTCAGACGAAGAAGTGAATGATGTGTAGCTCCCGGCGCTTATTTATACTATAGTCGCACCGGTAGTGACGTCATGGCTGTCGCCGGCCAACGAGTTGGTGTTTTTTCAATGTATGCTTCAGACATGGGTCACGAGGAGACGTTCCCCATAGCGACCCCTAGAGGACGCAGTGTCTCGTTCCCTACTCAGGGAACCATGGTTACATAAGTAACCTGAGACGTTTTTTCTGTCCTTAAATACAGAGCTAACACTTATTGGTTAGGACGGAACGCACAGGAGCCACAAACATTTTTGTGACATTCTTAAAGCGTAATGTTGAATGCTAAAACAATAAAAACGTTTCCAGAAATACTTCGATACTGTTAACTCAAGAAAATTACTTTTAAAAAAAAGCCAAATGCAAACAAACTGTCACAACCCTCTTCCACTCTCAGTAACAAATATGGGAATTTCCCAATTGAATAAGAAAGTAAAAAAATCTTAATATTTAATTAAATTCTTTAAAATCTCCATATATGTAGTTTATCATAAATACCGATCCACAATAGACATGAATACGAAGAAAAGGCGTTCCAGCTTACCTTGCTGAAGACACATGCAGACTCTCTGCTGTCTGTACTCACTGCATGTGTTGTTCTGGCGACTCGTTTCATGAGAAGGCTGGGTTTTGCCATAGAAGGCAGGGGTGAGTCTCCAGCGGTCCAGCCCTGATCCTCCCTCAGCCTTCACTCCACAGCGCTCCCTACAGGACGCATTCAGCCTGTGCACCATGGAAACTGCAAATGCATCATGAAACAACTTTTTTCTCGAAATAAATTGGCTAAGTATCAGGACAATTAAAAACAGTAACGCAAATGAAGTAACAAATTAATTCATTCCTTTTCCTCAGTATCGTAAATATAAATATATGAATTGTAGGCCTAACTTTCACATAGGCCTACATTAACATGATGACAGCAGTCATATGAGCAGAATAATATATATATAT